TATAATTCTCTTTCTCATTCAGGCTATATGTACAACTCCTTCATTTTAAGGCTATATGCCTGTGGAATGACCTCCCCGACTCTATCAAAAGGTCTCCGAATAAACTCATATTTAAACGAAATATTTACTCTCATCGGATTACCTGTTCTGCGTGTTTATTTGCGATTGTTTTTCCTTTAATTTAACTATTACTATATCTGCTATCTAATATGCCATCGATATTACCAAAGAGTAGAGACCTTATTACCAAGTACTAGTGAACCTGAGAGGATCATACTGCCAAATTATTCAAGAGCACCTGATACACATTCACGCTGCATATTTACACAATATACATGTGTTAAACAAATAAATATAATATACAATATGATACAATTATGCGAAAAATAGTCAATAAATAATAAGAAGCAAAACTACAGTTTTTATTTTATTCATGTTTCCTGCCTAACCAAGTTTTTCCTAATAGTTATTCCTAACTTTGTATGGACGCAGAACAATGTCCTTTGAAATAATGAGCTCTTATACAGGAGAAATTATAAATAACGAATATATTTCTACCTTGATATCTCTGATTTTTCGTTCAAAGAAAAAATCCGCACAAGCAAAACCAATTTCGAACATTTAATTAATGAAATCGGTGCAGTACCCCACAGCAAACCGTTAGCTTACCTCAGTGACATTTGTCGAATTAATAAAATAAGCCCTACATCCTTTAAGCGTTGGAGTCTTCTTTTTAGGTTTCCTTTCACCCTAAAATCTTTATTTTAAGACTGCCTTACGCCACGCTCCATGTTTACGGGATAATGTGTCCCAGCCACTGCCTTTTCAGACTTGTTATTCGTTTAACGGCATAGGTGACATTACTTTGCTCTCTAAGCCAGATGGGAAGGAAGAAGGTCAAACAAACATGCTTACACTAAAAACAAATAGGATAAAGTACACAATTCGTATACGGATTTGGGTAAAAGAATTGTCATTTGAAATTAAATCAACTATTTCAAAACTAGGAGTATTTTGTGTCAGCTCTCTTGAATTAATTAATAGAACTAAATTATTTGTCAGCTCTAATAATTTAGTAAGACCTTTGTTGTACATAAATTGAGGTGTTCAATAATTTTGGAGAATTTATTGAATGTTTTATGAGCGCTTTGTAAAATTATGAAATAGGTACTGAAGTAATAGGTAAAGTATTTACTGCCGTCAGACGTAGAAATTAATTGATACTAATATAATAAAGTCTACTTTCTCTTATACAGGGTGTTACAAAAATACAAATAAAGCTTGAAGGGCGTTGAAGTACATCATATTATAAGGAGTCTTCTCTAATTTTCTTAAAATATTTGCATGAAGTTTTATTTTTTTATAAAAACAGTTATTTTTAGCAATTAATAAAAATATTGATCATTTTAAGACACGTCACTAGTTCGAGGATCATTAAAAATAACATATAGAGAAGACTCCTTATATGATGTATTTCAACGCCCTTCAAGCTGTATTTGTATTTTTGTAACACCCTGTATTTACACGCTTACAAATATTAGAATAGTATTTTGCCATATAAGGAGCTGCTCACTTATCACAGTCTGGTAGTAATAAGGTTTATCTAAATGAAACTAACATCAACTAGGTATACATCATGTGGAAAGTAATTAGTCTGTTTCGTGATAGGTTCTTATTTACCAACTCATCTTTGCCTAGATAATTTATTCTATTTCAGTCTCGTTTCTTCATAACATAAATAAAGTTTTGTCATTAGTACTGATACGAGTAACATCAATTACTTAAACGTGTAACAGTTACTAGATAAACGGTACATTAATTTCTAAAATCGTTTTTAGTTTGAAGTTGATATGTTTGACAATAAAATTCCGCATCCATTTTTTAAAGCGTTTATTGTTTTTTTTTGGATTGAAGGTAACAATTACACGAGCCCACGAACACAAACGCGTGTGTTAACGAGATTAATTCCGAATATCTGCAAAGTATAAATGTTGTATTTATTTCACAGGAACGGATAAACGTTGTTGACATACGAAAATCGGTAAACAAACGAACGACACATCATAACCCTTACCATGGTTGTGACTTTGAAGTGTATTTCAATGTTTTCTGTAATTCTAAATGTATGTGTGTGTACGTCAACAGCAATTTGGTTATCCAGATTACGAGGAAATGATCTTAAGCTTAATCTATTTAACATACAGTTTAAAAGTCAATAGAACAAAATAATTTTACTAAAGTAAATAACATTGAAATAAATGTTTACGGTTTTTTTTCTGGCTGTCATATCGGATATCAGATAAAAAAATACCCGGAAAGCCTTTGGTTGTGTTTTATTTGACTTAACTTTTGTTTTGGACATCAAATGGTTGACATTTTTTTTTAATGAAATTTTCTTTGAGCCGTCACTTAATTAGAAACTAGCATGATTTGGGATTAAAAAATGCCGTTATTTCAAAACAGGGACAGTATTATATGCTAACGTTTGTTTCAACCTGTTAGTTTTCTCTCCTTATTATAATTTCTCATTGGGTTCATTGTTTATCCTAGTTATATTTAAAAGTAAACTGCCAATAGCTTAATCTATATCACCGCAACATTACTACTACTTTTTACTCAATTTTGTCTTTAAAAATTGTTCTAGTGTTAAAAGCAATTTCATCATACTTACAAAATAATAAAACGGAAAAAGTGATGAACAGAGAGAAACAATCTCTTATCTATTAGACAAGTCCGTCCGTCTGTCTGTCTGTGGTGCTGTTTCAGCGGCCAAGCCGTAAGAGATAGATAAAGAGAATATTTAAGTTATAAGTTAAGAATAGTCTGATAAGACTACAAACCGGATTTGAGTAACGTAGCACTTCCGGTTTTCGAGAAATCAGGTTTAGGTGAACATTCCTTCCCTCCGGACCTCTGAGGAGTTCAGACGCGTTTTTAGTGCTAGTTAATGTCAGTTTTATTTAGAAATATTTCATTTTATTCCAAAAACAAATCATCATATTAATAAGAGTGCATAAACCAAGAGAAGTTACCACGTTTACATTTTTAAATCGATACCGTCGTCGCACCGCGTATTATTTGTGTGTAATATACACAGTACTTACTTTAGACACTACTCCTCGCACACGCACGTGTACCGTATGGACAAAGAGGCAAATATAATCAAACCGATCGAGAAATAAGGACAAAGTGCGTAGAAGTTATTGAATCACAGAGGTCAATTAAGACTGGACGGAAAGTGGATTCGTACCAAATCGTCGATTGCCACCAATCTAAAGAGACCCCTGCGCCGTCGCCGCTTCAAACTGAGTTTGGTATAGCTGACAATCCTTTTGTTGTTTTTCTGTGAGCCTAGTATACCGAGAGGGCCGTTATTATGCCGCTTAAACGTACACCCCCCGCCTCACCCAATGTCGTACCACTACTGACAGGCGGAAGCTCTGGCGCGCAATCAATCTCCGCTGTGTCCGAATCGCTACTGCAACATTGTGAATCTGCGCCCGATTTACACGCTCTCACGCATGTATCAGAGCGTAAAAAACGTAAATTTGATGGAGAGGATTCTAATATCATATCAACACTAAATAATATGTTTGAAAAATTTTCTAAATTAATGGAGTCAAAAATGAATGGGCTTGAGGAGTCGATGAAAATTATCAAACAGCAAAATACCGAATTAACTAATAGTGTGGAATTAATATCAAGCAAATACGACGAAATGTTAACCCGTTTGAAGCAGCTGGAAGAAGAAAAAAATCACGACAGAAAGCAGATACGGGTTCTTGAGGACAAAGTAGAAGCTTTAGAAAGGAAAATTCGTATTTCGGGTATTGAAATTCGTAATATTGACAGAGAATCTGGAGAAACAAAGAACGACTTATGTAAAATTGCTTTTAACTTGGGTAAAAATTTAAACATTGACATAAATGAAACATCCATCAAGGATATTTATAGGGTTGGGTCAAAAGATAAGTCAACTCCGATAGTTGTGGAATTCACTTCTGTCCTATTGAGAGACAAAATACTAAAAGGTGTGAAATTGATTAATAAGAGTAAAGTTAAAGGAGAAAAGTTAAACACGTCTCATTTGCAACTAAAACAACAACAAAACCGGTTTTTATTTCTGAAACTTTAACGAGTAATACACAAAAATTGTTTTATTTAACAGAATTTTTCAGAAAAATCATAACTACTCTTTCTGCTGGACAGCTCATGGTGTTGTTTATTTGCGTAAGGAAGAAAATTCACCGCAAGTGAAAATTTCCTGTCCGGAAGATATTGAAATATTGCGCAAGAGTAAATGACTAGATGTAATTCAAGTTCCTTTTACTGTTGTTATTTTAATTTTAATTTTAAATGTTATATTTTTGCATGTATATCTAAATTTAAATCTTTATTTTGTTAATGCGAGCATCTATTACAATTACGAGTATTTCTACACACAAACACACCACACAAATAAAACACACTTTTCATACTTTGTAGCTAAACCTTGCACACTAACTAAAAACACACCAACTAAAACTCACATACTGGATTTCTATATATCACTATCAATTATAATTAATGGATCAAAATTTTCTCAATGATTTAGACTCGATCTCACGATCAATTTCACTTCAGTGTGAGCCAGCTATGGTCTCTTCTCGTGTTTTGCCATTGCAGGCTAATTTAACTGTTTTGACGCAAAATATACGAAGCATAAACTGCAATATGCCTGGTTTCGAGGTGCTTTTGGCTAACTTAAATATTGCCTGGGATTTTATGATATTAACCGAATGCTGGCTTCTAGCGAATCCTATAATTCCCTCAATAGATGATTACGCCTCCTTCGCTACTAAAAATAACAAGATCCAAAATGACGGTGTAGTAGTTTATGCCAGAAATGGTTTGAACTATAGCAGGGGTCGGCAAGTAGTTTTAGGTGGGGTCCGGAAATTGTGGGAAAATTTTAACGAGGTCCAGAAAAAAACAAGTGATGATAATTAAGTCCTATTTATTATTTTGGGTTAAAATCAAATTCTGGATTACAAAATACAAGACCTAAAATTAATGTGAGAAACTACACCGACAATCTTGAGCCAGTTTTTTATACTGTGGTTCTCGAGAGGAACAGCAAATTCGAAGTGTGTCTTCTAGATGGGCGTCCGTTAATCTCGAACGATATTTGTTTTTCAAAAAATTCATCTTTGAGAAAGATGTTTCACATACGTATGTCGAACCAAACATAGTAGTCAAATTGATGGCTAGTTTCTTGCAATTTTCATACTTTTCTGGAACATGTTTGGCCCAAAATTCTTCAGTGGATACAGTTTTATACATTTGCAAAGACACATCTTCTTGCAAATCGATTATCTCCATTTGAACTGAAGGCTTCGAGAGATTAAACAACTGGGCAGCCACATCTGTCCATTCTCCAGCTGCATCAACTTCAAATGGCGATTTAAGAAACGGAGATAACTTGCCCACCTCCGCATAGTCTTGGAATCTTGTAGTAAATTCGTTCCTAAGACTTTCCAGGAAATTTACGAACACTGCAATGTCTTCCTCAGAGTTTTCCTTTTTATATTCAATAACTGTCGGAAAATGAATAAATTCTTGTCTTGCAATATCTTTTTCAAATATATCTAGCTTGCGACGAAAAGCAGACACGCTTTGTATCAGATCACATATTAATTTTCCATTTCCTTGTAACTCTGTATTGAGTGCATTTAAATATTTCAAAATATCTTTTAGAAAAGCCACAACTAGCATATTGCGCTTGTTTGTGATGAACTCAAAGTGTTTCCTGGCTCCCTGAGTATCTAAGTTTTGCAAGAAGGTGGTTACTTGTTCTTTTATTAGCCAGAAACGTTCAATAACTTGACCTTTACTTAGCCAACGAACATTGTTGTGTTGTAGTAAGTCAGAATACGCTGAATCACATTCAGAAAGAAACTCCTTAAAATTTCGGTGCTGAAGAGCAGAATGAGATCTCATGAAATTGATCAACTTGACCAAGCTGTCCATTACTTCTTTCAGTGTAGCACTAAGTTTTCCACAAAGGGCTGCCTGGTGAATTATACACTGATACGATATTAGACCTGCATTTTTATCCCTAATTCTCTTAACTACACCTTTTTCTTTGCCAATCATTGCTGGGGCCCCGTCAGTTGAAAGCGACACCATTTTATCATAACTAATGTTAGATTTAATAACAAATTCATCAATGACCTTGAATAAATCTTCTCCTCGAGTGTTACCTTTCAACGGCAATATTGCTAGCAACTCTTCCCTAAAGATCTGACACTCAATGTCAAGAAATCTTACGAAAATAGACATTTGCTCATCATCAACAATGTCACATGATTCATCAAGTGCTATGGCATAGCAAGGTGCCTTTTGCAGAAGTTCAAGAAGAGTGTTTTTAACATCAGCAGCTAAAATTTCTGTCCTTCTTGTATTACTTCTTGCTGACAATGGAATACTTTGAATTGCAGCGACAACATCTTTTTTTTCTTCAAAAAGTGCCGTAACTACTTCCAACATACATTTCTTCACTATTTCAGAATCTGAAAATGGTTTCTGATGTTTATTAAGCGTCCAGCACACACGTAACGCTGCTTCTGTAGATTTTTCTTGCTCGCTCATGCAACGAACTAGTAATTTCGTGCTTTTTTTGTAAGAATTGAGATATACCTGAAGTTTTTCTTTACGAGCTTCACTGCCAAGAGGAAAGTTTTTGTGGAATTGCTGATGAGTTGTTTCGTAGTGTCGCTTCAAATTGCCAGATTTAACAATAGCAACAGTTTTATTGCATATAAGGCACACTGGAACTGCTTGAGGCCTATCAGGCAGCGTAAAACAATATTGTTCAGTCCATTCTGCCAGAAACTTCCTATTTTCACTGTCCACTTTTCGCTTTTTAGGATTCATATTAACGTAGATAGGAAAAGCTTTTTTTACCAACCGAACGAAAACGCGACTAATCATAAAACAATAGAACGGATTGCGCTGCGACTGACCGAACGCGACTGGCTGTCTTCTTTCCCTCGCCCGCACGCCCGCACCCCCGATTTCGATACTCGTTCGCGCTTGTTTCAACAAAACAAAACAGTGCGCACTCAGTGCTCGGCCAGACTGCAAGGGCGGGCGTGGCGTGACGTACTCAAATGGCGACGTACAGGCCCGCGCGGGGGGCCACTACGGATACTCATGGAAAACTTGTCCTATGTAGCTTAAAAATATTATTTTAATAAATAAAGGTATACGTATACCTTATCTATGTATTAATTGATACTCGGTATAAAATACATTACAATATTTCGCGGTCCGAGATTCGACCTTTCGCGGTCCGCAAACGGACCGCGGTCCGCCTGTTGCTGACCGTTGAACTATAGTATCGAGGAACCAAAATTGCAAGAAGGTAACTGCCTTATCATAAAAAAATGTCAGGAATGGGCTATAGTATGTATTTATCGTTCACCAAGTTATAAAACAATAGATCCGTTCCTTACGTCACTTAATACTATTTTGGGAGACCTAGTGAATTACAAATGTGTAGCTATTGTTGGGGACATTAACATTGCGATTAATGATGAAAAACTTGACACTGTCTCTGAACGTTACTTAACCTTAACCGCGTTTCATGGTCTAGTTCCAACTCATTCGTTTGTCACTAGGGATAGTAGTGGAACATGTTTGGATCACGCAATGTTAAAATCTAAGGAGCGTGTTATGACATTAGTTGCAAACACCACTCTTACGGATCATAAAACAGTCTTAATGTGTTTAGAAGGTAAAAGTAATTATACAAAGGCAGCTGTTTCATTTATTAAAATAAACTATGATAACCTTAAAGAATATATATCCAAATTAGATTTTAGTCACATATATAGTGAAACTGATCCCAATGTGGCTATGTCTGTTCTAATACACTGTCTCGAATCTGCAATCACTGTTAACTCTGTAAAAGTGACCCTTTCTAAGCGTAGACGTATATTGAAACCGTGGATAACGCCTGGCTTGTTACGATGTATACGAAATCGAGATCGCTTACACAAAAAATTTAAAAGTGCGCCAGATAATGAAATTTTAAAGATAACGTATGTTAGATACAGAAACTACTGCAATAAAATTTTGAAAAATGTTAAAAGATCCTATGAAAGAGAGAAAATTAACAATGCGGGTAATAATAGCAGAAAAATGTGGGAAGCGATAAGAGAGATTACATATACTAATAAATATAATGGTTCTAGCAATGAGTTATTGTCTTTGTTTTCCTGCCCTAAAGATGCCGTTAATAATTTCAATAATTATTTTATAAACGTGGGAGGGGAGTTAGCCAATAAATTTAATGAACCTTTTTTGGATAAAGATTCTTGTAAAAGAACAGCCTTTCAAAAACCAAAACCAAATTCCTTTGTAATGCTAGATGTCGATGAGGATGAGGTCGAACGCTTGATAATGGGTCTGAAAAACAATTGCTCGGTTGGTATAGATAAAATTTCAAGTGAGTTACTTAAAAATAATGTTGAGTTTATATACATCACCTTTGACATATATTTTTAATTGTTGTCTGAAACAAGGCGTCTTCCCTGATGCTCTCAAAATATCCTTAATTACTCCAATATATAAAACTGGCAATAAGGATGCTATTGAAAACTACAGGCCTATTTCAATTCTCCCAACCATATCTAAAAATTATAAATAACAGATTAATTAACTATTTGGAATCAAATAATATTATTTCTGACAATCAATTTGGTTTTCGCAAGGGAAAATCTACAAATGATGCAGTACTCAGTCATACTGAATTTCTCACTTGCAATCTTGACTTAGGTAGAAGATGTATAGGTATATTTTTGGATATGGCAAAAGCCTTTGATACGATTTCCATTCCAATACTTCTTGCTAAATTAGAAAATATAGGGATCCGTGACCAACAGCTTAAATTTTTTTCAGATTATTTGTCAAATAGATATCAATGTGTCAAAGTTAATTCTTGCATAAGCGATAAATTAAAATTACAGTATGGAGTTCCACAGGGAAGTATTTTAGGCCCAACCCTTTTCCTTATCTACATCAATGATCTTTTGCATCTGGAGCTTCCCAATGGTAAAATAACTTCCTACGCAGTTCTTCTTTTTAGTGCACATGATTGGGATAGTGCTTTTCGTGATGCCCAGGATGGTATGAATGCTGTTCAGAAATGGCTCACAATTAATAGACTTTCGCTAAATGTAGATAAATCTAAATATATTAAATTTTCGATAAAAAATCACCAAAATTGTAATACTAACTTAAAAATTAGATTCCATACTTCCTTGACTGACAATAATGTTAACCATGAAAGTTGCTGTTCCTGTTTAGCCATGGAATCTGTTCAATCTATTAAATACCTTGGTATTATCATTGATGAAAATCTCAACTTTTACAAATACATTGATCAATTATCGGCAAGAATTCGTAAATTGATGCCTATTTTTAAGAATATACGTCATGTTCTGGAACCTCATCGTCTTAAGCAGGTGTACTATGCGCTCTGTCAATCGTTATTGTGTTACTGTATCGCTAGTTGGGGTGGTGCAGCTAAAACAATAATATTAAAACTAGAAGTAGCTCAAAGAGCAATACTGAAAATTTGCATGTTTAAACCGTTCCTGTATTCAACTTTTGACTTGTTTCAAGTTTGCGATGTACTTACAGTACGACAACTGTTTTTACTAAATATAGTTCTCAGGCAACATGCCTTGCTTACCTTTGACGCGAGTAGCACAATTCTTTCTTCTCGGCGAAAATATGCAGTATGTCGTACACAGAGGACACGTACGAAATTCAGTCACAGGTTTTTTAAATTTTTAGGACCCTATTTATACAATCAAATTAATAAACTGTTGAATATTTACCCATTACCCAGGTTAGTATGTAAAGAAGTTATCTATAGGTGGCTTCAAGCAATGTCTTATGAAGAAACCGAAAATTTTATAAATATACTAACTTGAATAATTCAAACAGATACATACACGTATGCTACAAATACTAAATAAATCCGCACTTAAACACATATACACAAACACACACACACACACACACACACACATACACATACACCCACACATCATTTTCATACATCACATATTAATTCAAATATTATACTCATAGATGCCTTGCTTTTAAAATGACCTACTGATATTTTCATTTATGAGATATTTATTTAGTCTAGTTTAGTATTCTCATGTCTGTGGGGGTTTATGGCGCTGAATGCTGAAATACAGGCATTGCCTAGTTCAGCAGCAGAGGCTAATAAATTATAATTTCTGTAACTAGTGCTAAGTTCGTTACGTAATCTTACTGTACTGATTTTTTTGGTCAATAAATCTTATTATTATTATATATTTGGTTCACTGGTTTGCTAGTTTGCGTATCTTTCGATACTATAATTATGATGGTAACTAGTTCCTGTATCGAATACAATGCATCGATACATCCGTCATAGTCTTGCCGTGTGTATCCTATCGTGTATTTGTATTTCTCATAATTGTAGCTATGTCATGCATTTCGTTCTGAATTCCACGGACTAATAGTAGGGATATGATACTCCGCATCTGAAGTTGATCGATCTTCAGTATCACAACATTTGCAATTTGCGTCCCATTGCCGCTAACATTCGTGCTCTTCAACCGAGTTTTATGTTCAAACAGCATTGTAACCTTTATGGATAATCGGATATCTCCGTTGCTGTGTTATTGGGCACTTGGGAAGGGAGCCAGGGTGTACGTTTTATAGGACGCGACGTGATTTGATTTGAATAAAAGGTATCGAGACCGCCGACGCCGCTCGGTATGGAAATGCGGTTTAGAAATACACTCGCTTATGTATACGTCGTGTTAATTTGCAACGAAACGTATTGTTTGAGCGTGATGTTACTCCAAAGGATAAAAGGGGATAAGACGCTGTAAAGCCGTTTCCGATCTTGCTTTTGTTTATCTTCTAAATGTAAAGAGCCACGTTGGCTTTGCTATTTTTTGGTACTAAAACTGAGCGTACTTACTAACTTTAAAGTATTAAAACTTCTGCTAAAACTATTCTCTACGAATGAGAGCTCCATGATGCGATATAAAGTCTATTATGTTTGCTTACAATCGTGGAAGACAAACTTTCATACGGTGGACCATGCATAAATTTACCACCTCGAGGTTCATTACGCCCACGGGAGGTCCTAGTTGCATCTTTAGTCGTTAGCAACCAGGAATTCGCACTTGGTGAGTCATGGCTCGTCCTTCCTGTTCCATCCATATTGAAAGGCTGCGCCGCAGCAGCAACATTTTTAAGCTGATGATAAAGATGATGATGTTAGTTAAACAAAACATAGGCTTTGAAAAGAATAAGTCAGATCTTGTCATATAGCTACAAACACGTACAAAATTACCCAAGCAGAATCAATAAACGATGGACACTAAGATTAAGATCTTATGAGATGAGATGATATGAGACGATTGCTAAAAAGGTGGATAGTATTTATCCCGAAGTTCAGGACAATTTATGGAAACACGTAACGGAACAGATAAAATTGTTGAATTTGTTATTTAACAAAAGCCTGGCCACATAATATCCGATAAGAAACATTTTAACACCGCTTGAACCCAAGTCATACTTATAGAATTGTTTGTGTAAAATCAGCACCGTAACAAAAACGGATCAACATCGTAACAAAAACGGATCAACGCCGAAACAAAAACGGGTGAGCACCGCATCGCCTATCCCGTCTAGGCGATGTCAGTCAAATTAATAGAAGATCATTTGCAGTGAATACTAATCCGCACTTTCAGCGCTGTCGTCCGAGTACAGGACAGCACTACTAGAGAGCAAAAGCTATATTTACTTACTGGTGAGTGCTTTTTGACCGAAATTAAACTTTTTTAGTTCTTCTGTCGTTAAATAGCGTTTTGAGTTGTCATCGTTTCAAAATTGTTTTCAGCCAAAAAGTCATCAATTGTGTTTTAATCGCACATTAATATATACTTAATTAATTAAACCGGCCGTCGTTCCCCCTGTGATACTGGCTGGTGTGGCACTCAAACGTGTCACAGAGTTTAAGTACCTCGGACATGTGGTCACTGAGGACTTGAAAAATTACTCAGATATTGAGAGAGCACGGAGAGCGTTGGCTGTCCGCTGCAACATGCTGACTCGCAGGTTCGCTCGCTGTACTGCAGATGTTAAAATTACCTTGTTCAAGGTCTACTGTCAGTCCCTGTACACGTGCGCCCTGTAGGTCAGATATACGCAGCGGACATACAAGGCTATCCGTGTACAATATAATAATGGACTGAGGATGCTGTTGGGGCTCCCAAGTAGTGTTGACGATCGATAGTCGACTATCGATGATTAATCGATA